AACAATGGGCTGAAGCAAATCAGATTGTGAGGACAGTGAAGGATCTGGCAAGCCTTTGAGCTGTTGTACACAGGATCACTGAGAGCTCTAGCTGACTGGATGGTACCTAACAGCAACAAGAAAGACGTGTATCCCTGTGAAATCACAAGTGGTTAAACCCCAGGTATTCAAATAAAAAGAAAGTCACATACAAAGAATAACATCATTCTCAACAGCAACACTGGAAGACAGATTACAATGGAGTAAAAACTGGAAGACAGATTACAATGGAGTAAAACTTGTAAAATATTCAAGTATAATGATTTACAATTTAGACTTCCATATTCCACCAAGGATCCCAACAGCACAATGGTTAAGTGCTCAACTACTAACTATAGGTTGGCAATTGAAAGGCATTAACTGTTCTGTGAGTGAAAGATGTGATAGTAGTTTCCAACACTCAAACTTACTGTAAATTCCAACTGCGGGGAACTGCCCACCTTCTTCTATGGAGCTGTGGGTGCCTCCAAACTGCCAGACACATAGCCTTCTGCATTAGCAGCACAACTCACTAGGAACTCTGCCACCAGAGCTCCTCTAATAAAGATTACAGTCTTGGAAACCATTTGCGCAGTTTTAGTCTGTTTTTTAAGGTTGGCATGATTTTGTTGGCACTTATCAACTTGTTCATAAATGGTTTAGTTTGAAAATCCTGTCAAACTACTGATAAACTATAAGGATACAATGAAGACATTGTTAGACAAGCAACATCCTAAAAAAAATGTATATCCCATTTACCTTCTTACTGAGGAAACTCATGGAGGAAATGATCCACCAAAATAATGGAGTAAGCCAAGTAAAAGGCAGACCTACAGCAAGAACAGAGACAAAAGGAATTCCCAGATTGACAGTTGTAAAAGAAAATCCAAGTTGACAGCTGACCTCAAAAAGTAACAGCCTTGTTTGGAGCAGGGATGAGAACTCCACAATGAGTATCTCAAAAAAAGGAAAAGAAATTGCAAGACTACCCCATAAGAAGAAACATACTAAAAGATTTCTACTTTTGCTGGGAAGTTTGAAAAAAATTTTGATGATTACTAAATTTTGGAAAAAAGGAGGAGCAATTACTATCACTAAGGAAAAGAAAAACTAGTACAAGAAAATAGAATCACAGCACACTACAAGGCTCAGGGACAAATTATATCTAGTAGTCAGAGCAGTAATTCTTGGTTAGTGGAAAATTCTATATATAAGAAAACAAACAAAATGAAATACAGGGGATATTTAAATTTCTCATACTCCTTAATTTCTTATACTCCTTCCCAATCATTAATTATAAAAAACCAATTTAAACATTTTTAAAAAAGAGAAGCACACTAGCATATTACTTGCATATTTGAAGATCAAAACCAGAAACAGAGTGAGCTCTGGTGGCTTACTGGCAAGAAGCTACACTGCAATCACAGAGGTACATGGTTCAAATCTACCAGATGCTCTGCTGAAGAAGGGACAATCTCCTTCTGTACCAGTCAGATCTGATTTGATGGTACACACACAAAAATCATAAAAAAAAAAACCAAAAACCCAGAAACAGATTGTTGTTGTTATAATTATTGTTATTACATGCTATCAAATCCACTGTGACTCATTATGACCCTGTGAACAACAGATCTGAACTTGACCCTATCTTGTGCCATCCTCAGCAAATTTAACACAAAAAAGTTGTAAAAACTACTAGTTGGAGAAATTGGAATATAAATGAGAATGTTGTTTTTTTATTTTGGGCCTAATTTTTTTTTTAAATGTATTCTGCTAGGGGGTGGGCAGTTATTTTTAAAAAGAAAGGATTAACAGTATTTCTTGCTGAAGTGGTTATAAACAGAATTTGCTCATGTAATATGTCACTAAATTGTAGACATTTCAAGTAACACTTTCTATCAAAAATAATTACTAGGGAGAAAGATGAAGGCATTTAATCAAAACAAGAAGCCATCACACTGACAATTTAATGACTCAGGAGACTGAAAATGTGCTTCCCATTAGAAAGTAGCATTTCATGTTTCAAACTCATGTCTATAAAAAACAAACTCAACAGATGTCATTTAGATGTAATCATAAAATAATCTTTTTTCTAGAAGAGCATATCTAATAACTTTAAAATATGAGAACTTTTCTAATTTTCTACAGTCATCAGTCTGAGTCTCTAAAAAGAAAAATATTATGCTAATGAAACAATCATCCAATGACAGCAGTCCGAATACTGGTTGCCTTTTAATGGGAAAATTCCGTCTGGGAAGGGGATAAAGAAACTGGCTAGGGTGTTCCTAAGTGAAAGTTCTGCATCTTCATATGAATGGTGATTATACAGGCAGTTACATATAGAAATATTTATCTAACTCTGCATTTAAGACTCAAGCACTGCACTGCTACTACTCAATGCTACAGCAGGGATAAAGTCCATTAAAGTAATAAGAATGGCAGCCCCTCCTTAAATAATGACATTTAAGGAACATAAACCTTAATTAAAATTACTATAAATCATGTCTGCTTTTTACCTTTACTCTTCAGTGTTTACAGGCATTTTTACACATTAGGGAAAAGAGATGCCCCAAGGAAAGTAAAAATGCACAAAAGATAAAAACCAGTAAACCTCTCACAATGTTAATTAAAGAATATTTTCAGTAAGTATTTAAACAAGGTATAATTTCAGTAGTTGTTCTTATGTGCTGTCAAGTCAGAAGTGACTCACAGTTGACCTCCTAGAAGCTTTTCAGAAGCAGTAAATTGCATGGGAGGAGACTGCCCATCTTTCTCTCATGGAGCAGCTTTGTATTTGAACTGCCTTTGGGTTGGCAGCACAGCTGCTTACCACTAAGCTATCAGTTGTAGTGGTGTACTGCTGAATCAGAACCAAAGCACAGGTGACCCTCCAGTGAGTTTTCAAAGGAAAAGTTTTCATGTAAACAGACTGCCTATTTTTCTCCTGTGGAGCAGCTGGTCAGTTTGAACCACATAACTTTGTGGTGGCAGGGTGATTCCTTACCAGTAAGCTGCCAGCACTCTCTAAGCCATCAGAACCCCCTATAATTTTAGTAGGACTCTTACAGTAAATAGGAAAGTTGATATGATTTAAAGGTAAATATTACTGGAAATAAACTATGAAAAGGTACTTTAATTACTTCTATAGCATGTGCCTAATTCTTAAATCTATGTAAGAAGCCAGGAATGTAATCTGATTTTCTATTGGATTAAACTTAATGTTTACCTTCAAATTAGAAAAGTTTTTAATTGGAAAAAAAAAAGCTTCCATTTAATAGAGTATCTGCTCATACGTTTTTAATCTATTTATTCCATAGAGTACTAGTAAAAAATAAACCTAACCTATGCTGATCAAACTTTTGCCGAGAACTGCAATATTTTTTATTAATAAAAAATGACTTTTTTCAAATACTTTCACATTAGTTACATAATTAAAATACATGCAAAACTGTTAAGTATCAGGTAGCAAAAAGTAACAGTAATTTTAAACGAAAAACGTCAAAAAGAATTCTTAAAATTTTATCCTAGTATTTCTCTATAAAATGGCACAAACTCATCCTTAAAACATATTATCATTTTCTCATTTGTATAACAGATTTTAACATAACTCCACCAGATAATTTTTGACTCAGAGCTTAATTATTGACATCCACAATGTGACTGATTACAAGTGAATGCTATACTTCTCAGAATTTCTGGTGAGAAAATTCTTAACATGATAGTAACTTTTACATTAAGACAGTGAATTTAAATATTATTCTCACAATTTTCCTTTAAAGTGTGGTCTCCCCCAAAATTAACTATGCAATTTAAGGAAATGTTTATTTCAAAATAATGCATGAGTTAACAGTATACAAAATGGCAAAAAATTAAAAAGTTTCACCAAATTCCTGAAATTGTCTTCACTGCTAGTCAAAACCATCACAGATTTTTAATACTACATTACGAAACCTGTTTCAAGGTTGCTGTGTTATTGTTAAGGGCATTCAAGTCGACCCATAGCGACCCTTGAATGAAAGACCTGAACACTTTAATCATTTCTCCAAGTTCATAGTTTCTGGAGGCAAGCTATTTCGGAACTGGATGCCACTCCTGGTTCCAAGCTTGTTTTGATCGGGGAGCTCCACCAAACACTATCCACCATGGTAACCATTATCTCATATGACACATCAGTGTCACAGTGTTGAGTATCACAGCCACCACGAATTATCTCTGTACAGACCAGTGCTATACCACTTAGAAGAATGTGTGACCAAAAGCAATTAAAACCAGTTCATCGTTTCTCCAAGTTCATAGAGTTTCCAGAGACAAACTATTTCGGAAATGGATGCCACTCCTTCTTCCAAGCTTATTTTAATCGGGGAGTTCCACTGTTATAATCCTCTTTGCTGCAGGAGTGGGGGGATTTCTATTGTTCTTTCTTATGAGAGAATGTTATAAAAAGTTAACCACAAGCTTGAGCAAAATTAAGTTTCAAACTCTTCACACTTAAATTTTCATTCTACTAGATAGTGCTGGCCTCTCAACATTAACATTATTTACAGGTATTATTAAACATTTTTATGTTACCACATGTGTGAAAAACTTACCAAGTTTTTAATTAAGTAGAACTCTCAACATTAACACTATTTACAGGTATTATTAAACGTTTTTATGTTACCACACGTGTGAAAAACTTACCAAGTTTTTAATTAAGTAGAACTTAACACGACAAGCTCAACCTAGGATATTTTACACACAATATAAGATCCTATTAACAGGTTTGTGTCACTTCTTTTGCATATTATCAAAGAGCCTAACTAATCAGACTGGGTTATTAAATATTAATCACACACCAAGTTATAAAATATTTTTAAAGATAACTTTGAGATCTGTCATTTCCATTTAATCATGCTTGGATTTCATTGCTAAATATTATAATGCATACAAAATAATGTTTCCCACCAACATCATCTGATTTTGATTTCTAAATCAAGTCTTACCTTGCTCAAAGCATATAGATCCAGGATTTTTCTCTCCACTATCGGAATTTTCAAAGTAGATCCTTGAAGTTCCCAAAATTTGGCTAGTTGATCCAAGAAGTCCAATCGTACTCTAGTCATTGCCTAAAATTATTTATGTAAAGATTACCAGATATATCAATTAAATTAAGTTCGAAAAGAAATTAATTCTGCATAAGTGCCAGAACACTTCAACACCCTCCCAAGATCACATCCTGCCACATCTATACAGGCTTCAACTGGATCTAGTAATATGATATTCATTATGTTTGATTTGCTATTAGAGGTATAATACTAAATTGTCAGTTTGCTGTATTTGGGGAATATACTTTTCCAATTAGTACAGCATTTATCTGTCAGTTTGCTGCACCGAGTTAACTTGTGGGTTGCTATGATGCTGAAAGCTATGCCACCAGTGTGTCAAATGCCACTATACTTGGAAAGGTGGAGCTGGCAAAAGAGAAGAAGATCCTCATCAAGGTGGACTGACAAAGAAACTGCTGCAATAGGCTCAAATATGTCATGAAGTGTGAAGATGACACAGGATAGGTCAGGGTTCAGATTTGTTATTTAAAGGGTCACTATGGGTCATACTGGACTCAATGGCACATAACACCACCACCACAATGTCAATGTCTTTCAAGAAATTTATTACTGCTTAGCCCAATACTGCAAAAGAAAGCAACAATGAGGCAAAAAGTGCTTATCTTTACAAAAAACTGTAATAAAAACTGTCAGTCTCTAAGCATTGTCATTTCAACTATAAATATACATACATCTGCTCATACATACATCAACTCTATCTCACAGATGTTAAGATTCTTCATAAAGTAATTAAAGAAATAAAGAAAAACAATGCAAACTTTTTTTTTTTAATGTTTGTTGGAGCTCCAGTTTAAGACAGGTTTGGAAGCAGGAGTGGAATCCAATGCCTGAATAGCATTCCTCTGGAAAGTCTGTGAACTTTGATAAATGCTGATGGTTGTGAAAACACTATAGACCTGTTGTTCATGGGGCCGCTAAGAGTTGTGCTCGACCCGACTCAGTAAGACATTTTTGTGTGTGTGTGTCTGTGTGTGTGTGTGTGTGTGTGTGTGTACCGTCAAATCAGATCTCACTGTTACAGGAGATTGTTCCTCCTTCTCCAGCAGAGCATCTGGTGGATTCGAACCGTGCACCTCTTGGACTGCAGTGCAGCTTCTTGCCACTAGGCCACCAGAGCTCGCCTCAGTAAGAAATTTTAAGCCTTAGCTAGCAAAGAATTATTTTTTACACTCCAAAACTGTTTCCACACTACACTAAAGAAGCTTCTGATAATCCAGCAGATGAGAACCACAATATTTAACCAGAGGCAATAAATCACATGGGAGGAGATTGCTCATCCCTATCCCACGGAGCACCTAATGGATTCAAACTGCATGCCTTTGGCATTGCAGTGAAACTTCTTAACACTAGGCCACCAGAAATGTAGTATTTTAAGAGGGATATTAATAAACCAGATTACCAGTTCTGAGAAAGTACTGTTAAAAAACAAAAAAAGGGTTTTTTTCACAATAGACTTTAAAAACTTCCTTTCCAAATATATAGGAGGTTCTGCTGGCACAGTAGGTAGGGATTTACACTGCCAACCAAAAGATAAGAGATTCGAATCTAGAAATTGCTCCATAGGAGAAAGATGGGTAATCTCCTGTACAATGTGCAGCCTCTGAAATCTCACTGGAGGCTACTGGTCAGTGTTTTTTTCCTCCCAAGAATAATGAGACAAAAATGTCCTAAGATTCTCCAATTTTTTTAGTAATAAACACTGAAAAGTTTCAACTCTGAAAGCTAATCATTAGATATGCTCATTAAAAAAAAACACAACTGGAGATAATACTGCCTAACTTTTTAACTCCATATAAGTGGAAAACTGTAGTATTTTAAATCATTTTTTAATTTTTATTTTAATTAAAGTTTAGAGAGACTTAGGGTTTCCAGTCATTCATTATTGCACTTTTCTCCCTGCCCATCCTCTCCCAATTCACTCTTCTCCTTGAAATGAAAACTCTTTCACTGTTATGCAATCCCTCCCCCCTAATCCACTCCACTATGCAGCCATCACTCTGGATTTCTATAATGACAAGAATATTCATTCATATAATCCTTTTATACAGTTATCTACCTCATCTGTTTCAATGCAATATACATCATTCCTCCCCTCCTTTTCTGTCTTCCCTCAACCCTGATGTCAGTCCCATTTTACAACAGTGGCAATATGCAATATTTGTCCTTTTGTGACTGAGATACTTCACTCAGCATAAAGTCCTCAAGGGTCATCCATTTTGCATACTATTTCATGAGTTCCTTGTTTTTCAATGCTGCATAGTATTCCATTGTGTGAACATACCAGAGCTTCTTTATGTTTGTTGACGGGCACTTGGGTTGTTTCCAGCTCTTTGCTATTGTGAACAAAGCCGCAATAAACATGGGTGTGTATATATCTGCTTGGGAAGCAGTTATGGTTTCTTTGGGGTATATTCCCAGTAGAGAAACTGCTGGGTCAAATGGTATCTCTATTTGCAACTTTTTGAGAAAGCGCTATACAGCCTTCCATAGTAGCTACACCAGTTTATACTGCCACCAACAGTGAATAAGGGTTCCAGTTTCTCCACAACCTAGCCAACATTTGTTGTTTGCTGTTCTGTTAAATTTTGCTATTCTTACTGGGATGAGATGATATCTCATAGTTGTTTTCATTTGCATCTCTCTTAGAGCTAGGGATTTTGAACATTTCTTCATGTGTGTGTTTGTCACCTGAATGTCTTCTTTGGTGAAGTATCTGTTCATAGCCTATGCCCATTTTCCAGTTGGATTATTTACTTCTATCTTGTTGTGGTGCTCAAGTATTTTATAAATTCTAGATATAAGTCCCTTGTCAGACATGTCATTACCAAATATTTTTTTTCCCAATCTGTGCTTCCCTTTTTACCCTGTTGGAGAAATTTTTGGATGTGCATAGGGATTTGATTCTTAGAAGGTCCCAGCCATCTATTTTATCCTTGATTTTAAACCATTTTTAAAAATCATGTCTATAAATCTCTAATCAATAATCTTCATTAACACTAATTCTAGGCACTGGTACTCGAGCTTCTCAAAGTTCTCTTTGTGGAGGCCAGGTATAAAGAATAAATCAAGAAGCAGAAATAGTAACATAAGACTCACCTCAAGTTCATTCAAGCGTTGCACCCGGGGAGTGAAACGAAAGCTTTTTACTTCACATGCAAATGGAGGCTGCCAATCCTAAATGGAGAAAAATTTTTTAACACAGTGATATTTAAGAAAGGATCACATTATTCATTTCCTCAACTTAATTTGCCACAAAATATGACAACAAGCCAACTTAGTCTTTACCACAAAAGGGAAATAGGTAGATTCATCGTTGTTGTTGTTAAGTAAGAGTTGATGATGACTCATAGTGACCCTATGAACAATGAATCTGAGCCCTGCCATATCCTGTGCTATCCTCATCATCTTTGATACACTCAAACCCAACGTCAGTCACTGAATCAGTCCATCTCATTGAAGGTCTTCCATTCCTTCCCTGACTCTCCACCTTTCCAAGCTTAAATGTTCTTTCCCAAGGACGGGCCCCTCCTAACAACATGCCTAAAGTATGTCAGAAAAAATTCTCAGATGTTATTGATCCTTTTGTTTACATATCACAATTATTCTTTTTTTTAGTAATCAAGTGGAAAGCAATGTGCTCAAGTAACATACAACAATGTGTAACAAAGTCAAGGTCGTCAAATAAAAAAGAAAATAAAACTTGAACCAAGGAAAGTAAAATTAGAGATTATAAAGTTTGGAAAGTATTCAATAAAATTTGGATAATTTTTTTCCATTTATGTGTAATATTTCATAGCACTTTATAGTCAGCATTGTATAAATGCTGTGTTTTAAGCCTAACTAGCTTCTAGCACCAAAATATTAGCCAAAAAAAAAAAAAGGCAAATCCACAGAACAAGACAATTTCCAGATGGAAGTATAGATTTAACTGAAATGAGATAGTATAGTTCAAATGGGGTGGTAGAGAACATAGTTTGAGTTGGCCAAAGTAACTAAATACACTTACAGACCAAAGAATCAGTTGGGTTTTTTAATTTTTTATTTTATTATTTTTTGTGCGTGTACCATCAAATCAGATCTGACTGGTATAGGAGATTGTCCCTCCTTCTCCAGCAGAGCATTTATTTGGTGGATTTGAACTGCATACCTCTGGGACTGCAGTGCAGCTTCTTGCCACTAGGCCACCAGAGCTCCCTCAAAGAATTCGTTTTTAAGAGTATCTTCCCTTGGAAACTAAAGAAATTAACAATATTAAAATTCACTTTGTGTGTGAGATTTATTTAAAAAAAATTACACATACAGAAAAGGCATGCTAGTCCAACCTTTTCTTAAATAATACACAATACCTAAAGAAAAAAAAAAACCTTAAACAGAATTTATAATTTAAAAAAAGCAAAAAAGCAGATGAGAAAAAAAAACTTAAATGCTTATAGGTTTGCTAATATTAGGTACTTCTGGTGTAAAAGGAGTTAACAAACTTTTAGGGACACAGTAATGCACATCAGTATAGCAACTTTTTAAAAAATACTTTGCAATCAACCTACGATCTTAACTCAAATTCACTGAGTATAACTGGAGTAGTCTGCAAAGATTTCAGAGTCGAGCTGACATAGGTTTAAAAGCTAACTGCAAAATCACACATTTAGTGATTTAACTTATAGTGACTTGCCCCATTTTAAAAATCAAGACTTGATTTACCCTACTAGAGGTTCAAAAACCACATGTAAAAATTAATCTACCTGAAGTCCTTAGGCAAAGTAGTTGATAAGTTATCTACCTACCACCACCCTCAAAGCTCTTTCTATTCACTGAGTTGACCACTCTGTGGTGCAGGCAATTTTTTGTTTGCTTTTAAATGAAAGACCAGTAACAGTACTCAATATTTTCTCTTTGTGGAGGACAGCCAGGGATTTTGGGTTTTTTGGGGTACAAAGGAAAAAGCAAAGCGTATCTAAAAAGCATTGTAAGGCAAAAATTTGCAGACTTCAATGTGCACTAAGAATTAAGAATCATCTAAGAGTTTCCGGTAGAAAAGCAGATTTGAGATATTCCACATCCAGAAATTGATTTCTCTTGTCTGTCAATTGGACCTAGAAATTTTCATTTTAATAAACTTCTAGTTGACAAGTAGGTGGTCCAGGAACATCACTGGTCTAATCCATAAATAATTATGCATTACTGGAAACTTTGGAAGCCAGTGCCCCTTTAAAAACAAATTCCCCCGGCATGCTGAATAGGACTCGCAGAAACTCGACAACAGAGGAGAGATAGTACAGCCAATTCACAGGACTAAATCTATAAGGAAGCCGAATGCCATATCCTTCTTCCTCCCAAGGCTGATATGGGTTCAAATGCCTACCTAGCGCTGCTTACAGATACTCTCAAACATTCACTAGTCTCAAGTCCTGGCCACCCCCCTTTTTGGGTTTTTGAAGGAAGGAAATTACCCACCTTTCTCCCACAGGGCCCTGGCTAGCCGTCAGAGCGGCCTCCCCCATCAGAGTGCTACTTTAGACACCTTTTGACCTTGAACAAATCGGTCAAACTCCTGGGGCACTAACAAAGATATAGGCAAACCTCGTCTACGGAATAATTAAAATTTTAACATTTTTAAAACTTGATTCTAATATCAAAAGGCTTTAAAGTTTCCTTCCATCTCCATTATTGATTCGTTTTTCCATAAACCTCTAAATGTTTTAAAACAAATGCTCCTTTTAATCCCCCCAGGAACTTTTTTTCAATACCGTTTTGAGATTCTTGTCTGGTAATACCATCCTAGGTGTCAACTAGAAAGCTCAGATTACCTATAAAAACTCTAACCTTGAAATGAGGCCTGCAAATACTTAATACATTAAATGACAGGGTTAAGAGAATCAAATAACCAAGAAAAGGCCCTTTTTAAAATAGCAATGGAATAGGAATGAGGGCTATGTCAAATTGTATTTCGAAAACCTTACAGACCAACGAAAGGTCTTTAAAGTGTCACAATCCGAAAGAAAGGATCAGTCCACAACAAGTTCTAGGATGGAAAAGGCCCCAGATGCCCACCATTTCCCTCATTCGGAACGCAAAAGAGACTATGGTAAAACATGCAGAAACTTAACCTCGAGTTGCTGAGAAATGAGGGATGTAGGGCAGGACTGGGAAAGGAAAGCTAAATCGACTCCTCCATTTTCCCTTCTCCCTCCTCCAAGACGCTGGTACCTTGGGCGGTCGGATCTTGCAGATGCCAGTTTTTTCAGCCAGGGGCCGGATGCGGCCGATGAAGCTGAGCGGGTCCGTGAACTCCTCCCAGCTGGGCTCAAACACTGGGCACTCGGGTGGTGGCACGAACTCCGCCGCGTAGCCCCCCGTGCCCACACCCGCCATGGTGAGATCTAAGGTTCCCCGAGGAGGAACAGGTGGAGAAAGACTGGCTGAAGTCCACCAAACCCTTTCACGTCCCCTGACAGGGACCGGAAAGCATCTTCTGCAGTGAGAATCCCACAAAGCAGAAACACTAAAATTCCTCCCTCCTCTCGTTTGTTATTGTTTCCTTCGGGGGGTTTTCCTCTTAGGGCAAGGATTTTCCGGAAGTCGCTGTGCTGTCAAATCCCTCCGCCAAATTGACAACAGAATCCCTCCGCCATGCTCCTCTTTATGCGACTTCTTTCTTCTTCCCGTCTGCCCCTTCAGCCCGGTGTTTGTTCTCTCCCAGACTGCAGAGGCTCCACGCGGTCTGGGGACTCTGGCCAGCCCACCTCGAGAATCTCACGATCACTCCTGTAAGGGAGGTAGTTGGAGTAAATAATCAGCGAGGAGGTGCAACGAAATCTTCCGGCGCGGAGGAATGTGTAATGATGCAGAGGGCAGAGGTTCTACTTCCGGTGAGGAGGGTCTGGTTCCCCTTTGTGTATACATGAACTTAAGCCCATCCTCGACTTACCCCCTACTGCCTCAACTGACATTCGGTGGTTTGTGATTTGTTTGAACTTAATTGTCTTTTTTTTTTTAATTAGTGTTATGTCTTTCTTGTTCTTGTTATGTGCCGTGGAGTCACCTGCAACTCAGCGACCCATGTGTACGACACCTCTGAATTGTGCCCTGTCCTAATCCAGTATCACTAATTACTAATTACGACAGACCAACCCCCTTACTGTATCAATCCATCTCATACAGAGTCTTCCTCTCCTGTGCTGCCCCTTCACCCTTCAGAGCATGATGCCTTTCTGAAAAGACCTGTCCCTCCTGGTCACATGTCTAAAATATGCTTTTGTAGTCATAGGTTTTATTTAGCATTATACCCTTCTCTTCTCCATAGAAGTTTGGGTCAAACTCGTCCCCTAAGAACTCTGCCGGCCTGTTTTAGCCAACATCCAAGTATTGGGTTTCGTCCCATATAGAAACCAAACCTCTTTTTGTTTGTTTGTTTGCTTTCCTAGTAATAGTTGTTGTTGTTGTTGTTATGTTCCGTTGGATCGCTTGCTACTCATAGCGACCCTATGTACAAGAATCCTAAACCCTGTTCTATCCTGTGCCAACCTCACTGACTCTGACACACCTACTCCCATTGCCCCAATTACTGAATCGATTTCTCTCATCAAGGGTTTTCCTCTCCTGCACTGTCCCTCCACCCTCCCAAACATGATGTCCTTGGCTCAAACATAATGTCCCTCTCCAACGACTGTTCCCTTCTTGAAACATCCCCCAAGTATGTCAGAAGAAGCGTCAGAATCCTTGCCTCCAAGGGGCAGCCCAGTTTCACCCTCTCCAGGACAAATCTGTTTGTTCTTCTAGCAGTCCTTGGTATATTCAATACTCTTCTCCAGCACCACAGCTCAAAGGCATCAATTCTCTTTCTATCATCCCTATTCATTGTCCAGCTCTCTAATGCATAGCAAGTAATTGCAAAGACTATGGCCTGCCTGGATCAGGTGCACTTGAGTCTCCAGCCTCATGTCGTTGCTCTTCAGTACTCCAGAGTGGTCCCTGACAGCTGACTTTTCCAGTGCAATTTGTCTCTTGATTTCCTGGCTGTTGGTACCAAAAGTGTTGATTGTGGAACCAAGCAAGCTAAAACTGTTAACAATCTCAGTCTCTTCACCATCCATAATGAGGCTGCCAATTGGCCCAGTGGTGAGAATCTTTGTTTTCTTGATATTGAACTTCAATCCACACAGGAGACTGCAGTCCTTGACCTGCAGCAAGCGCTTCAGGTCCTCCTCAGTTTCAGCAAGCAGGGTTGTGTCATCTGCATAAGGCAGGTTGTTGATGAATCTTCCTCCAATCCATGCCACATTCCTCCTTGTACAGACCAGAGTCTCAAATGATCTGCATACAGATTAAAAAGGTGTGGAAACAGAATACATCTCTGGCAGACACCCTTCCCAATTTTGAACTATGCAGGTGTCTCCTTGCTCTGTTCTAACAACTGCCTCTTGGTTCAATTATTGGTTTTGCATAAGCTCAATCAAATGTTCTGGGATTCCCATTCTTCTCAGAGTCAACCACAGTTTGTTGTGAACCACACAGTCAAAAGCCTTTGCATAGTCAATGAAACACAGACATTTCCCTGGTACTCTGCTTTCTGCCAAGATCCATCTAACATTAGTTATAATATCCCTAGTAACACAGCCTCTTCTAAACCCAGCTTGCATATCTGGCAGTTCTCTGTTGATGTGTTGCTCCAGTCATTTGTGGACAATTTTTGGCACAATCTTGCTTGCATGTGATATTAATGATATTGTTCAATAATTTCCACACTCTGTTGGGTCACCCTTCTTTGGAATGGGAACAAATATCAATCTCTTCAGTCAATTGACCAGGTAGTTGTTCTCCAGATTTCTCGGCACAACTTAGCACATCCAAGGCAGCATCTATTTGTTGAAATATGTCAATTGCCATACCATCAACTAGAGCCTTGTTTTTTACCAGTTCTTTTGGAGCAGCTTGAACTTCCTCCTTCATCACCACAGGCTCTTGCTCATACATTGTTTCATGAAATTCTTCTGTGTCAGCCAATTCCTTCTGGTACAGTGACTCTATATACTCCTTCAATCTTCTTTTAATGCTTCTTGGATCATTTAACACTCTGCCCAAAGCATCCTTAAGTATTACCACTACTAGTAATTCCTAGTAATTAGCATCAAGTATTCCTCACTTTTACCTAACAAGGTTGTGTCATCTGCATAACGCAGGTTATTGATGAGTCCTTCCCCAATCCTGATGCCACACTACTCGTTATAGAGTGCAGCTTCACAGATAATTTCCTCAGCATACAGATTGAATAAGTATGAAGAGAGAATACAACCCTAGCACACTCCTTTCTCAATTCCAAACCATGCATTGCTCCCCTGCTCCATTCGCACAACAGCCTCCTCGTCCCAGCCATATGAGCACAATCAAGTGCTTGGGGATTCCCATTCTTCTCAATGTCAGCCATAGCTTGTTATGAACCACACAGTCAAATGCCTTTGCATAGTCAATAAAGCACAAATAGACATTCTTCTGGTATTCCTTACTTTCGGTCATGATCCATCTGACATCAGCAATGATATCCTGCTTGAACCTTGCTTGCTGAAATTGAGGAGGACTTGAAGCTCTTGTTGCAGAGGATCTAGGAATTCAGCCTTCAGTATGGATTGTATCTCAATGTCAAGAAAACGAAGATTCTTACCACTGGATGAATAGGCTGTGTTATGATAGATGGAGAGGAAATTGAAACTGTCAACAGCTTCATCTTGCTTGGATTTACAATTTACACCCTTGGCACCAGCAGTCAGAAACTAAATAAACACATTGCACTGGGAAAATCTGCAGTTAAGGACCTTTCCAAATAATTGAGGAGTAGTGATGTCAGTTTGAAGACTAAGGTGCATCTGATGCAGGCCATAGTCTTTCCAATTACTTGCTATGCATATGATAGCTGGACAGTGAATAAGGATGACTGGAAAAGAATCGACGCCTTTGAACTGTGATGTTGGAGAAGAGCACCGAGCATCCTATGGATGGCCAAAAGAACAAACAAATTATGTCTTGGAGAGGGTGCTGCCAGAGTGCTCTTTGGAGGCAAGAATGATGAGGCTTCGTCTCCATACTTGGACATGATGTTAGGAATTGCTATTTCTTGGAGAAGGACATGATGATGAGAAGGGTAGAGGGTCAGTGAAGAAAAGGAAGACCTTCAGCCAGGCGGATTGACATCATGACTGCTACAGTGGGCTGTTGTGTGTTAGGAAATATAAGAATGGCACAGAGTGAAACAGGATTCAGATCTTTTATTCATAGGGTTGCTATGAGCAATAGCACCTAACAACAGTAATTAGCAGTTCTCCACTTTTCTCAACAGTTACCACTTCAGCCTTGCTTTATACATAGTGTATTTCTTTCTTAGTTTGCTGTAAAATGTCATAGCAACTAGTTACATTGTAAGAAAGCTCTATACCAGTGTCTATTTCCCACTTCCTCTAAACTGTTGAGAGTAACATAGAGGGGACCAAAGGGGGGGGGAAGTTAAAGGGTAGTTCCTATTATTGAGTACTTCTCAAACTCGTTTTTTCCTATTAACTTAATGATGTTGTTGTGCTCCATCGAGTCGTAACTGACCCATAGGTGACCCGCTGGTGAGTTTTCGAGACAGTTAATCGCACGGGAGAAGATTGCCCATCTTTTTCCCACAGATTGGCTGATCAATTCTAACTTTTTGCCTTTGTGATTGCAGGGCAGTCTCTAGCCACTAGGCCACCATTGCTCAATAATTTCCACATTCTGTTAGATCAGATTTCTTGAGTGTGAGAACAAATAAGAATTTCCTCCAGTTGGTTGGTCAAGCAATTGTCCTCCAAATTTCCTGACATAGACTAGTCAGTACGTCCAGGGCTGTCAGTTGGTATCCCATGAATTCCTGAAGCCATATTTTTTGCTGATGGCTTCAGTGCAACTTGAGCTTCTTCCTTCATTACAATTGGCTGTTGATCAAATATACTTCCTAAAGTACTTAAGTGTCAGCCAATTCTTTTCTGGTACAGTGATTCTGTGTATTCCCTCCATCTTCTTTTGATCCTTCTTGGATCATTCAAGATTTTGCCATAACATTTCTAAATATTGCAACTCCAAGCTTGACTTTTTCCATTTTTCCAGATTCAGAAATGCCAAGCAAGTTTTTATTTTATTCTCTAATACCAGCTCCCTGCATGTTTGAGTTTTTTGTTTTGTATTCTTGAGCTTCCCTTTGAAATCTTCTGTTCAACTCTTTTCCTTCAGCAGCTCTTTGTTTTGGCTTCTCAGGGTTTTAGTGCAATTTTCAGGGCCTCTTCTGGCATCCATTTTGGGGTTGTTTTTTTTTCTTTCTGCTTTATCTTTGTAGTGGCCTTTTGCTCTCTCTTCATGGATAATATCCTTGATGTCATCCTACAACTCATTTGGTCTTTGATCATTGATGTTCAATGCTTCAAACCTATGCTTGAGACAATTTTTCAGTTCCAGTGGGATAGGCTCACAATCATATTTTGATTCTCATGAACTTGTTTTCACTTTCTTCAACCTCAATTTGAACTTGCACATGAGTAATTGATGTCTGTTCCACAGT